GACTGATGCTGAAGTTGAAACTCCAATACTTTGGCCACCTGATGCGAAGAACTGACTCATTGCAAAAGACCCTGATGCTGGGAAAGACTGAAGGCAGGTGGAGGGGATGACAGAGCATGAGATGGTTGAATGGCATCACCGACTCAATGGACATGAGTTTGAGCAAACTCCAGGAGTTGGTGATGGACAGGGAGGCCTGGCGTGCTGCAGTCCATGGGGTCGCAAAGAATCGGGACACGACTGAGCGACTGAACCGAACTAACTGAAGAAAGAAGGTACCTTCCCCTAGAGAGAATCTGCATTTGACTTTGCATCTATCTTGTAGTGTCATCCATTATAGAATCATTTTAAACTAGGGATTCCTTGATGACTCACTGATGGAAATTTGGACTGAAAATCCATGTTAAATCCCTATAATGTTCACATTATTTCAATATAGGTTTGCTATTTTAAGGCAACTCTCCCCATGGTGCCCCAGGAGTGGAAAAAGGGAAACAGTTTTTTTTTTTTTAAATGAAGTATAATTGATTTACAATGTTGTGCTTGTGATATGCAGCAAAGAATATGAAAAAGAATATATATATATATATATACATATATTTACATATACAAGTATATATATATATTTACGATATATATACATATACAAAGGAATATATATACATATATATATAGGCAAGGCCATGGGCTTTGATTTATCATCCTCTAACCCAGGCTATTAAAACCTCACTTGATTTTTCTGAATCTAGCCTTTTCTCTTTCCACACAAAGCTATCAAAACCTCAGCCTGATATTTGTCAGAATTTGGTCTCAGACAAAGTAGACTGCTGTGCCTTGTTTACTTTTCTGGGCTCTTGCTTTTTCTTTTTTTTTTTTTAACTTTTGGTTTAGAAATGTTAACAGCATTCAATAATTTCTCATTTAAAAAGTAAACAATTGAAAAAGAAACTTTTATTCAATCCACCAATTCCCCTTCTGGGTACATATGCAGAAAATAAAAAGCTGGGACCTCAACAGATATTTGTATACCCCTGTTCACAGAAGCATTATTCACACTAGTCAAAAGGTGGAAGCAACCCAAAAGTTCATCCAAGGATCAATGGGTAAACAAAACAGCAACTCACAGCCTGAGGGTTGTGGGGGAATCTGTTCTTAGAGACTGGATGACTGCCTGGCTGAGTGCAGGCCTAACTGCCCCCCTCTCTCCCTAACAGGTTCTGAGCAGTGCCCGAGACCTTGTGCCACAGAGCTTAGGCATGAGACTGGGGATGCAGAAGTGGCCTACCCTGCTTCACTGAACAGCCTGTTTTCAGGGAGGAGGAAGGGGGAGACATCTATCAATACATTGGGTGAGGGGGCATGGGGGTGTCAGAGAGGCAAGTGTGTTGTGTTACTATGTCAATAAACTGATTTAAAGTTTAAAACAATATTCATACATAAAGCAGAATTTTATTCCCTTAAAAAGGGAATGTTGACATATGCTACAATATGGATGAACCTTGACAACATTATGCTAAGTGAAACAAGGCAATCACAAATGGGCAAAAACTATATGATTTCATTTATATAAAATACCTAGCATAGTCAGCCTCACAGAGATATAAAATAGAATGGTGGTTACTAAGAACCAGGAAGAAGGAAGAATGTAGAGGTATCATTTAATAGATACAGAGTTTCAGTTTAGGAAGATGAAAAAATTTCTGGAGATGGATGATGGAGACTATTGACAAAAATGTGAATCACTTAATGCTCCTAGAACTTAAAAGTGGTTAAAATGGTAAATCTTATGGTATGTACATAATTCTTACTCAAAAGAATTTTCTTACCTTCACATTTACTTTAATTCAAAAAGTGAATAGTAAGTGCTTTGTGGTTTGAATACCATTAAACAGTAACCCTTACTCTTGAAAATCTCTAAGTTTAAAAGATGTTTTGTTCATATTAAACTACATGTAAAGGAAAAAAATATCAAGAATATTGGAAAAACAGAAAGATGCGAGAAATAATACTAGGCCTCATTGACATGGGCTTCCCTTGTGGCTCAACTGGTAAAGACTCCGCCTGCAATGTGGGAGACCTGGGTTTGATCCCTGGATTGGGAAGATCTCCTGGCGAAGGGAAAGGCAACCCACTCCAGTATTCTGGCCTGGAGACTTAGGGTCGTAAAGAGTCAGACATGTGACTTTCACTTTCATTTAACATTTTACTCCCAGTCGGAAGCTTCACAAAAAATAAATTTTACATTGCTTCAATATAGATATCTCTTAAAACTTTTCCATATATTACTATAATGTGAAATTATATATTTGATTAATTTTTAAAATCTATGATAATACTCTTAAATATGAGTAATGCAAAATAATCTGTTAAATTATTTTACATTACTTTCTCCTGTCATAAGTTTCCTCCATAACTTTGTGGTATGTATCTCTACATTTCCCATCTGTAACTCTTTCTCTTCTCCTTATTTTAATAAAGATGTTTACATATCTTCCCTCTTAAAAACAAAAACACCTTCCTTGACTTTGTGTATTCATTTTATTTCAGCCTTTACAGTCAGCACCCTTGCAAATACAGTCTGGACTCCTCTCTATTTCATCTCCTGTTCCGTTCATAATCAACTCTTATTTCTGTCATGTCACACTACACAGTCTTGCTAAAGTCTCAACTGACAAAACCAAGAGATATTTTTTAGTACCTCTCTTTGGTATCTAACACAATGACCACATATCCTCAAAATTTTCTTTCAGTGTTATTATTTTCTTATCTGTAATATATTCTAGTTTCTATGTTCCTGGTTAATATATTATAGTATATACTATCATAAATATAATTTTTACAAATTTTTTATGAGATCTGGAGTATCCCCCAAATTGTTTGTTTCATATAGCAGTTTACTGTTATCTGGTAACAAGACTTATTAAACTTAAAGATCAATTAGGCATTTAAAAACCTTAACAGTCTAAATTCTCTCATCTTCTCTCAGAGTTGATGAAAGGGAGCTGTGTTACATTTTCTAGCAAATGTTAGAAAATAAATATTATAATCTTTCCTTCAAGGGAATATGACATTTTGATAGGAAATGTGAAAATAAGTGCTTTTTGAAAAAAAACTCATGTATAAAGCATTTGGAAAAAAAAGTTCATTGTTGTCAAAAATAAACACATTAGTAAAAACAAAATTAATTAAAACACATATATCAGCACATTTCAAAATGCTGGAGGGCAAAATTTTACCTGCTCTTAAGTCTATCAAATAATTTTAGGTTTTCAACCTGTTACAAACTTTCAGAAATAATCTTTCAAATTAGTTTGTAGGAACAACTACTTAACATCAGGAAAGATGGCAATTACTAGCTGATTTCAATAAGAACCTTTTGACTATATAAAGACAGGATTGAAAAAGTATCATGATTTGGTAAACATAGCCAATGTTACATTTCTTTCATTTGGATTTGTATATTTTTATGAAGTACGTTTTTCAACTATGACAGCTATTAAAACCAAATATTCAAACAACTCCACACAATTCCACTATTATTATATGGTATTTTAAACAATTACATGTTTAACCTACTAAACTGTTTAGGCCATTTAAAAGTGAAGATTTTGTCTTCTTAATCATTGTGTTCTTAGGACTTTAACTATAGGTATACAGCAACAGTTAAGCAATAAATACTTTGTGAGTAAATGATCAAAAATATATGCAAGTACATTAAGATGAAAATTAGTACACACATACACACACACCACACCCACATTAAGTATAACAGCATAAGGCCTAGTTAGGTAAACAAAATGTTATCTAAAATTGACACAGCCCCAAATCACAATTTGATGGTACTTAGTGGCTCAATTTGTAATTATGACTTTTTTAATGAGGAAATGTTCTCATAAATGAAAATATTATTATTAGAACACATTAGAATCTTTACTTTCAAGAGAATCATCAGTGATACAAGGATTGAATATAAAGTCAACAAAAATAAAAGTAAAACCAACAGAATAACTGTTTCCATAATAGAATAATGTAAAAATGACCCTGCACACACAAAACTGTAAAACTATTAAAAATTACTTTCAAACTAACAAATTAGAAATAAAAATAATAGCATTTTAAAGACTTAGTTTATATCCACTAGTCTCATTAAGAATCTGATAGCTACTCAGCATAATTTTCACTGTGGTATAAATTTTCCATTCTTGTTATTTTTAATTTAATAATAAATCATATATAATTATTAATATGAATACTTCAAATACTAAATTACACTTAATTCTTTATGGTACTTAAGGCAAAGAAGCCACATTACAATTTTATTTGAAAAAAATTAGATGCACAAAATAATATTCTAGTAGGTTTTTAATTCTAATTTATCTTTAAAATGAAAGATTAAAAGAGAAAAGTAAGCAAAATAAAGGGCGCAAATGCTGTTCCTAAAAGAGGATTCATAGTATCTATATTTTGCTAACATGACATAATAAATTGCTAAGGATTATAGGAATTACCATATTAACTACATTTAGTAAAAAATTTATCTTACAAAAGCTGAACTACAGAATGACTCATTTACAAAATGAGTAAACTTAAAGCTCAATTTTATGGATGGTATCTACCAATCAGTCTTCCATGCCCAAACTATATATAGGATCTTTTATTAAAATGCATTGCAACAGCAGTATGGAGCTGAAGACTACAAAATGTACAAAATGGAAGGCATATTAAATATGGCAGTGCTTCTGAAGCAAATGATAGCGCTGTTTTTCTTTTTAAGAAACATTAAAAAGCTTCCCGGAAAGCTTTCGTCCTCATTCTCAGGTTTACAGTTCCCTTAGTTATAAAAGTTTTATGTTATCTAAAAATGTATCCATGGTTTATGGATTGTACTCTAATAATGCTTAAGAAAAAAAAGAAGTTACAATACTTAAAAGATCAAAACAAAATAAAAATAAATCAAGCAAAGCCAAACTGAGAAGTAAAACTAACCCACTGATACCTACCTCCTGGAAATGCCATTAGCCAGACATTTATGGCTACACGATTTAGAAGAGAGGGGTGATGATGTAGGGGACAAGTTGAGAGGGGCAATCAAACTATTGATGATTTCAGTCAACTGTGCACTCTGCAAGAAAATAGTAAACCTTTTACTGCTGCTAACAAGAGATACGGTTAAATCTCAGAACTTTAGTGCCTATTAAAGTTTAACCTCTCATGAAACAAGTAAATGTTTGTTTTAGTAAATAGTTTGCTCTATAAAGACAATTTATACCATTACTGATTTTTCCATTTATTATAAATACATCTACATTTTTAAGTACTCCTCTTTTTCCATATCCATTTTTGCTCAGTTCCTTTGTCTACTCATCCTATCCTCTAAAACACTGAAATTCAGCTGATAGCATCTATAAAATGCTTCCTTTGAGGTAGCCAAATTAATAATAACAAACTCATAACTATAAGTTATTAAATGCCATCTATATGCCAGGCACTAAATTAAGCTCTAAACATAGATTACTGCTAATCTTTACAACTAACCTGCAAAGTAGATAATATTAAAACTACTGATACTGCTTTTATTAAAATCAATTATAGATGAGGCAGCTGAAGAAAAGCTAGATTAAGCTGCTCGATCAAGGATTATAAAATTGGTATGGTGTGGAGCTAGGACAACTCGGTGCTCTGTGACAACCTACAGGTAACAGGATGGGACGGGTGGGAAAGAGGTTCAAGAGAAAGGGGCTATATATATATATATATATATATATATATATATATACACATACACATATATACTTATGGCTGATTCATGTTGTATGACAGAAATCAACACAACATTATAAAGCAATTATCCTCAAATTAAAAATAAATTTAAAAGGAAAAGAAATGGATCTAGAATTCAAGCTTAGGCTTCCTTCTCAAATTTTTTCCTAATTTGAATATACCAGTTTTTTCAGATACCCCAAATTTTCATTCTCTTATCCAAAATTTACATGTAACCTATTTGTAATATATAATAAATATTAATTATTCTCAAAACAATCACATATAACAACTTAATATGCATAAGCCATATAAATGGAAACAATACATTTTTACCAAAGAATGACACCTTTTTCATTACACATGTAATCTACTACAGTTCATTACAGAAAAAAGGGAAAGTATGAAGGTTTCAAAAATGAAAAGAAAATAACCTGTAATAATATTTCACAGAGAAAACCATTGATAATTATCTTTTGCTAATTATATATCCATCTTCCAAGACAAAATTTTTATTGAATATTTATGAGTTATTCATAAGAGGATTTAAATATCAGAAAAAGTTTTGGAATCAAAGTAATTTATCAGAGATTCATTAAGACTATTTCCACGATCATTTTTTTAATGAAATAACCCACATTCCAATGTTATCTTTCACTAAAACCTTCTATCAATAAATCAATCAAACACCCCACTCAGATCTATTAAGTGGTACCCTAGTTCTTTCTCCGTGAAAAAAGTTCAGTGATGAGCAATTTTGTTAGAAAACAAGAGTTTCCAACCCTAGTATAATGAGTTATCACTCTATAGCTATGTGCCAATGCTTAACATATTATATTTAAATAACTTTAATTATATCACTATTATAACAGAACTAGATATACTAAATATTTTAATTGTACTTAATGTCAAATGACCAACTTCAATAACCAATGTCGTAAGAAATTGATATTCTTAAGAAACACATTTAAGTAGAACAGTTTACAAAATCCATTCAAAGTCATTTCAAGCCACTCATACTTCACATTACCTGTTTTTCTATATTGCGAAGAAGCAGCGTAGGGCTACTTGGTGACATTTCAAAATCTTGTTCTGGTAAAGGATCTTGACTCTCTTGAGGGATCTGGGGATTCCCAGAAGTGTTTAAGGAAGCTGGTTGGTCTGCAAATTGTACTTGCTTTTTCAATATGTCTTTTGAAAGTCGACATTCTTCTAAGATCACTATCCCCTAGACAAACAGCAATTAAAGAGTTGCAATGAAAACAAATTGATTGCTGGAAGAACTTTAATGTTATGATGCATGTGAACCACGCTTTTTATTATTCCCTGGAAATCAGAAAATAGACGGTTGGAAGTACTAGTTTTTTTTTAAGTGTTAACATTTTTAAAAATTATTTATTTAAATTGGAGGCTAATTACTTTACAATGGGTGTACATGTGTCCCCCTTCCTGAACCCCATCCCTACCTCCCTCCCCATCCCATCCCTCAGGGCTGTCCCAGTGCACCGGCTTTGAGTGCCCTGTCTCATGCATCAAACTTGGACGGAAGTAGTAGTTTAACTCTGTAAAAAAGTCACAGATCTAAACTAAAATAAAGTGAAAGTGAAGTCGCTCAGTCGTGTCTGACTCTTGCAACCCCATGGACGATACAGCCTACCAGGCTCTTCTGTCCATGGGATTCTCCAGGCAAGAATACTGGAGTGGGTTTCCATTTCCTTCTCCAGAGGATCTTCCCCACCCAGGGATTAAACCCGGGTCTCCCGCATTGCAGGCAGATGCTTTACCCTCTGAGCCACCAGGGAAGCCCAAACTAAAATAACATGTACATATTTGATGGATTAGCCTTGTAAAGAACTGTCATAAATTATATATAAGTGATCACCTTTCTTATTGGTTTTAGTTATTAGCATTAAAAGCATGAGACATTCAGAATAAAGAAAAAGTTGGAAGGAATGATGCTGAAGTTCCAATACTTTGGCCACCTGATGGCGAAGAGCCAACTCACTGGAAAAGACCTTGATGCTAGGAAAGATTGAGGGCAAGAGGAGAAGGGGACGACAGAGGATGAGATGGTGGATGGCATTACTGACTCAATGGACATGAGTTTGAGAAAACTCCAGGAGATAGTGAAGGACAGGGAAACCTGGAGTGTTGCAGTCCATGGGGTCACAAAGAGTTGGACAAGACTGAGTGACTGAACAACAAATTTCATAAATTAAAATATCAAACTTACCAACAGCCAAACAACAATCTAACTTTATATTAACTCCTTTCAGAGCATTCTAGAGAACCCCAACACTGTTGTGACCAGCCAGCAACCATGGATAGGACTGTACTATTGAGAAAAAGTACTCTCTAATCAAGTTCTCTTTGCTTACAGAGTAGACAGGTTAATAATATAGACACAAGTTTTCAACTTTAAGGGGTATTTTCTGAAATGTAAGTAACTGGAGAAATGAGTAGGGATCTAGCTGCCTCTGTATTCCCTGCCTACCATTCACACACACACATAGTACTCATCTGGCTTGCTGAACTTTCTCCGCCATTCCCTATCTTCTTCACTCCAACTGTCCTTATCCTTAGGTCCCTTAGAAGTAATGAGAAGAAATGAGAGAAAGGGGAAAAAGGAGTGCACAAGTGTCATTTGAATGGTTTTATAGTTCTCACCATAATATTTCTTCCCTTCCTATCCATTTTACTACACTTGCCCCTGCAAATAATACAGATTATTATGAAACATTTAAGTGTGTATATTGTGTGCATATGTGTATATTACTATTTTTCTGGCAAAATGTCAATAAGTTCCTATAGGCTAGTTGCAAAGATATTAAATGCCTAATGTGGCTAAAATATTACATTCTTGAAATGAAAAACAGACTAAAACAATAATACAAGTGTACAGTATTTCAAGATGGGATAAATTAAATTGCCATGGCCTAGCTTATATCACAGAGAAGGCAATGGCACCCCACTCCAGTACTCTTGCCTGGAAAATCCCATGGACGGAGGAGCCTGGTAGGCTACAGCCCATGGGGTCGCAAAGAGTCGGACACGACTGAGCAACTTCACTTTCACTTTTCACTTTCATGCATTGGAGAAGGAAATGGCAACCCACTCCAGTGTTCTTGCCTGGAGAATCCCAGGGACGGCGGAGCCTGGTGGGCTGCCGTCTATGGGGTCGCACAGAGTCGGGTACAACTGAAGTGACTTAGCAGCAGCAGTAGCTTATATCATGTGTAAGTGCTATACATAGGGTGGAAACCACCTATAGATTATATGTTATATATCAGTAATCTTAGTTTACACTATAGTTGAGAGAATATATCACTTTAGAATTAACATATTCAGATACTGTATTAAGTATCCATTTTAGTATTTTATAGTAATATATTACAAATGATGCTTAGTAAAAGTAACATTTCTTAAACTATAACAGCACTAGTAACTTTTACAAAGATAAGAGAGTCCAACTGTTGATCCTACTTCAATGACTATTTTTAGAGAATGCATAAATATGGCTCTCTAGAAATCTCAAGAAATGTATTTAAAAGCAGCTTCTGTTTTACTTGATATTTTAAAAATTAAATTAGATTTGACAGACGTAGTATCATCCACCTCAAAAGTTCTTGAAAGTATCTGAAATATCTACCCCAAATTTGTACAAGTCTCTAGCATGTTTTTCACAAGTACTTGATACAAAAGAAATATAAGTTTTCACTATATTATTTATAATTTCATTTGTTTTTATTATAGTTTATGTTATGGGCCAGGCTGCTGTAGATTACCATGATTTTATTATCCTTACTTACAATATTGTTTCTAGGGAAAAACTGATTCTGAATTTCAAAAGTCCAATTTGCAAACCTTTAAAATACTACCTTTTTATAAGTAGAAGGCCTGCTATCATTTATTCAATTAAGAAAAACATTTAAAAAATTCAGCAAGGGAATCACTCATAACCAACTTCATAATCCATTTTGTTCTCTTAAACTGTTGCCCTGGACAAAACTCTCACAGTATAAGAATGGCCCACAATTTTTCTCTGCCATAACCAAGAACAGAGATGAAAGTAAAGAAGATTAAATCCTCTGGAGATATTGCAGAAATAAGTTTCTGTTCTTAAAAATCAGGAAAAAAATATATGTGTTGGGTCACCATGATGGTTATTTTACAATGTTTGCTAATCATAACTCAATCTGAATTTTAAAAAAAAATCAGGAAAATAGTCTAATGATAGACAAAATAACATAAATAAAAAACACAAAGTTTTTTTAGAAGGATAAACTGGGTTAACTGAGACAAGTGAAAAGTCAAGCATAAGATGAAAGCAAATCAGTTGCTCAGAGATGACAACCATTCCTGATAATAACGCTAGAGAGATCCCCACTTCCACTCCCAGATTCCTCATTAGAGATGACATAAAAATATAAACAATTGCCTCAGTGTAACAGGAGGGAAGGGGGCAGGGCACAACCTTTAAAAGAACAAGACACCCATAGGATAAGACAAAAATCGGTTAGAACCAACCAGGCCAAAGATGGAATATTTGACTTCCAGTGGAGCTCGGGCCTCTTATACATACATGGTGCTACATTAGCATGCTCAATGACACACCCACCAGTGCCAAGACAGCTCTGAGGTGGACCGTAAAAGGTCAAAAAGTGGGCATAGCGCAATTCCTGGAAATCTCCATCCCTTTTCCCTAAATAGTTGGACTAATCCTCCCACGTGCTAGCCTATGAAATTACCCAGCCCATAAAAACTGACCACATCATATTTCAGGGCCTTTCACCTTCTGAGACGTCCTACACTCTGTCTGTAGAATGTGTTTCTCTCTAAATAAATCCACTTCTTTCCTATAACTTTGTCTCTCACTAAATTCCTTCTGTGATGAGACATCAAGAACCTGAGTGTCATTAAGTCCTGAGATCACGTGTGATCTCAATTAAAAGACCATGGGTTCAATTTCCAGTCTGGATTCTGGCTGGGTTTTCATCCTGGCCTGTGGGATCAAGTTCCATCTGAGATGCATGGTGTCATCAGTGACATTTTATATAAAGTCATCAAAACTTTTTAAGCAAAAACTTACATGAAAATTTTTTAAATAAAATAAAACTAATTTTAAGCAAAAACTTAAACGAAAAATTTTAAAATAAAATACACAATTTAAGATGTGGAAGACCCTATTATAAGATAACAGAAGAAATCTAAAAGAGAAATTATTTAATATACTTTAGCCAGTTTCTCCAACTAAGAAAAATTATTAAAAAAAAATTAAAGTGAAAAGAAGCTACTGTCTAAGTAAAAGCTGGAGCAGAGAATATGAGAAATATGGAAGCTGTCATGTGTTGACAAAATTGTTGCAAGAACAAGGAAGGGATGTTGCTAAAACTCTTCTAAAAATTGAAGCAAAATTTACACCATCTGGACTGTGTCAAAGAATGGGCAATGACACACTCTAGGTCATCTGTCCCTTATTTTACCCTATGAAAACACTGTGGCTTCCTGACCAGAGATACACAGTAACACCTATTTTAAAAAGCTGTTTATAAGGTAGGACATGGAAGCAACCTAGACATCCACTTGCAGATGAATAAACAAGGGAGTTGTAGTACATACACACAATGGAATATTACTCAGCTGTAAAAAGGAACACATTTGAGTCAGTTCTAATGAGGTGGATGAAACTGGAGCCTATCATAAAGAGTAAAGTAAGTTAGAAACAGAAAGACAAATACTGTATATTAACACATATATATGAATTTAGAAAGACGGCAATGATGATCCCACATGTAGGGCAGCAAAGGAGATACAGATGTAAAGAACAGACTTTTGGACTCAGCGGGAGGAGGCGAGAGTGGGATGATTTGAGAGAATAGCATTAAAACAAGTACATTACCATATGTAAAATAGATGATGAGCGCAAGTTCCATGCAAGAAGCAGGGCACCCAAAGCCGGTGTTCTGGGATAACCGAGAGGGACAGGGTGGGTAGGAAGGTGGGAGGGGGCTTCAGGATGGGGGGACATATCTCTGCCCATGGCCAATTCATGTTGATGTATATGGCAAAAACCATCACAATATTGTAAAGTAATTATCCTCCAATTAAAATAAATTAATTTAAAAGATAAAAATGCTTTTTATAAAAGAGCATCTCAATTTCTTTCCCTTCTCCTTATCTCTGAGAAGGGTTTTTTCCCCTTTCACTATACAATAAATAAAAAGTTCCATCTCACTTACAATGCATTAAACCACTCTTCTCAATTTTTGAACTACAAAAATTCAAGAAGATATAAGAGTAAAAAGTTGTTTTGCCTATTCAATATAATAGTTAATACATCAACTAACCTGCACATAAGTAAGCAATTAAATATCTTGATTATTTCTAAAAAAGGTAAGGCAAAACTACCAAAGTAAAGAAACATGTATTTTGATGGCTAATTATGACATTTTCCATAAAATAAACATAATCTGACTCTTATGGAAACAAAAGGTCAGATACACACCTAGCTTGAACCAAGAAAAAATTTAAAGCCATATAAAAGCCATATTATTGCTGGAAAGATTTATTACCTTAAAATAATTGACTACAAATAGATATTATATAAACATATAACCAAAATTCAAAAAATGTTTAAACAACAAGTGTAAAGTATTGCTTAGAACACAGAATATTAAAATACCCTTTCTCAAGTCAAAGCAAAATGAACCAGACTGTCTAGATTCAGATATAAAACTTACTTATCAATTCAACTAGGAATAATTTTCTTGGAAATTTTCAAATTGCTTTAAACTTAATTTGTTCTTAGAACTCTACTGCCTATAAAAAACACTTGTGACATTTTTCAAAGAAAATGATCAAGGAAGGGAACTTTTCTGGTGATCTTGAGAGGATTGGGAGATAGCCACAATTAAGGCCCAGCTGAAGATGTTTAAAAATGAGAAACAAACTGAACAGGACTTGCATCAAGAAATTATTCCTGAACATGGCTGCGTCAAATTCAACAAACAGAATGGGTAAGCCTAAGGTTTTAGGTCTATGCTTCTATCCACCTTCCTACAAACATCACCACCAAATTTTACAAAGTATTAAATGATATTCATGACTTGCCTAGCTTCCTCTCCCATCCTTGAACAACTCATACTTTCTGCTTTTTTGAATACAATACTAATTTGTCATTCCTAAAACAGATCATGCTGTTATATGCCTTCAATTCTTTTTTTATATTAATTTATTGACTTTAATTTGAAGCTAATTACTTTATAATACTGTGGTGGTTTTTGCCATACATTGACATGAATCAGCCATGGGCATAAATGTTTCCCCCCATCCTGAACCCCGCTCCCACCTCCCTCCCCTTTCTGGGTTTTCCCAGTGCACTGGCTTTGAGTGTCCTGCTTTATGCATCGAACTTGGACTGGACATCTATTTCAGATATGATAATATACATGATAATATACAGTTTCAATGCTATTGTCTCAAATCATCCCACCCTCACCTTCTCCCAGAGTCCAAAAGTCTGTTCTTTACATCTGTGTCTCTTTTGCTGTCTAGCATATAGGGTCATTATTACCATCTTTCTAAATTTCATATATATGCATCAATATACTGTATTGGTGTTTTTCTTTCTGACTTACTTCACTTTGTATAATAGGCTCCAGTTTCATCACCTCATTAGAACTGACTCAAATGTGTTCTATTTAATAGCTGAGTAGTATTCCATTGTGTATATGTACCACAACCTTCTTCTCCATTTATCTGCCGATGGACTAATTTAGGTTGTTTCCACATCCTGGTTATTGTAAACAGTGCTGAGATGAACATTGGGGTAACACGTGTCTCTTTCATTTCTGGTTTCCTCAGTGTGTATGCCCAGCAGTGGGATTGCTGGGTCATATGGCAGTTCTATTTTCAGTTTTTTAATGCCTTCAATTCTTTAAGGAATTCCTTTTTCAGTTCCACAAGTTCATTAAGCAAACTACTATTTATCCTCCAAAGTTATACTAAAGCATTACCTCTTTACTGATGTTTGCTCTGATCTGCAAACCCCTGAAGACAGAGTTAAACACTCTCTCTATGCCACACCTATATCTTATTAAAACCACATATCATCCACATATTGCATTATATTAAAATCAACTATATTTTACATGCTCTATCTCTCCTACCAGAATATAAACTCACAATAGAATTTAAAACTCAATAATCCTTATTGATGTGCAGACCCTAGGTGGGGTTAGGCTAACTGCATGGTTTGAGGACTCTATTTCCTTCCCTTCTCAGCATTTTTTTGTTTCAGACTAGCCACCATCAACCTTACAATATTATTTCCATTATGTCCGGTTTCACTATGTAGAATATGGTTTCTCACAAAACCAAAGGTAGAAATTTTTTTGTTTTTAGATTCCACATACAAGTGATAAAATAAAGTATTTGTTTTTCTCTGTCTGGCTTACTTCACTTAGTATGATAATCTCTATGTCTATCCTTGTTGCTGCAAATTGCATTATTTCATTATTATTCATTAAAATAATACAAATAAACTCATATACGAAACAGAAATAGACCCACAGACATAGAGAAAAGAACTTATGGCTACCAAAGGGGAAAGGGGGAGGGATAATTCAGTTTGGGGTTAACATATACACACTGCTATACAGAAAATTGTTAACCAACAAGCACATACTGTATAGCACAGGGAACTATATGGAATATTTTGTAATACGCTATAAGGAAAAAGGACCTGAAAAAAATGGATATATACGTATGTATAACTGATACACTCTGCTGTACAGCTGAAAGCACATAACATTGTTGACTATATGCCAACATAAAATGCAAATTTTAAAGAATATGTTGGGATCAGTAGCATGGGGAAAGGGAATTGGATCAGGAAGGACTATACAAATACTCCAACTGTAAGGTAATGCTTTATTATTCGAAAAACTACACCCAAACTAGTAAAAATTTTATATTTGATAAATTTGGGGGTGAATACACAGGTATTCATTATATTGCGTTCTAGAACTTTTTTATGTGTTTATAATTTTTCTTGAAACAAAAAACTCTAAAGAGATTTCAATAAGATACACTCAGAATTTCACACAAGTTAAAATAAATGTCAACAGTCAGGCTTATAAAAAAATGTGTATCATTTGCATTAATTGGAATCCAGTAAAGAAATTCTTTAACTGCTTGATATGATAAAATGATTGTGAAAAATTTTTTAAATAGTTTCAACTCATAGAATATATAAAATCTTAAAACATTAACTACATTTTAATAAAGCCTAGTAACAATTATTTTATGTGGAGAGATGAGAAGAAACTAAAACCAGTATTTTTTCTTTTTAAACAGAAGAACACACAATACCTTGGAGGCACGAATCTGCCTGTGAACATCTGTTAGTTGTTGGATTTTGTATTCTAGCTCTGAAATCTGGGCTTGAAGCCATGTCCATCGGCTGCCAACTCTTGCTCTGTCTACAAGCCACTTCCATTCAGTGCTACAGTCACTGTGAACAAGACAAACACAGCTAGTTAAAGCACAAAGACAGTTATGTTTTCACACACATTGCTTAATACCTTCCTTGACTCTTGTCATACAATCCCAAATTCCTTTACAAAGCATCTAATTACATTAAAGAAGAGTGTTACACCAACTTCTTTTCAAATATTTTATTTCCTTATCTTTATATCCCATAAACACCTGTTTTCATTCAATATTGTATACCTGGTAGGATAATCCCCTTGTTATTTAATATTTTATTGATGGTCAAGGGCTGAAACAGAAGTAGATCAGCCAAGGGAAAGAAACAAAAATGTCAGTACTAACACCACGCAAAAACTGTTACATGAGCCTTTTATATATAAGCAGGTATGAAGTACAGGACAAGTCGTTTGAACTGTACTAGATCTAAATCCATGTAACAAACCACACAGTACTCAATTTTACTATATGTAACCTTCATTTGCTAAAATGGGTATCAATATTTTTAAATGGAAAAAAATTATCAAAAACAGGAACACTGCTACATTACAAATATATAAATCTTGACATGTTAATTAAGATAAAGTTTGTTTAAAACCTGATTCCTAGGATTCACAGTTCAGAAATGACAAAAAATTTATATAAAGTCTTTCTTTCATGAATATTTGAAAATGAGATTTGCATCTTATCTCCTTTATCTTTTGGCAAAAGCACTGCTCTAATCCACAGTTTGTGAGATTACAAATTAACTACTTTATGAAAATATTTCAACCATTCCAACTAGAAAACAATCACTTACAGTTCAGGGCAGGGAGGAGAGACAGGGTTTGTGTGTATTTTGGATAATTAATTAGGAGCATCATCTTGCCAAAGAAGAAACTGAAGACAGTATAACAGAAGAAATTGAAACTATAACTGAAGGGCAATAACTACTTAATGGCAAATCACAAACTTCATGAAAAACATGTCTAAAAATTGCATTTATTGTCAAAACCCATTGAAGGCACAACAGCGAAAGTGAACCCTATTGCAAACTATGGACTTTGAGTGATGAAGATGTGTCAATGTAAATTCATAGATTGTTATACAAACACTACCTTTATGCAGTATGTTGACAGTAAGGGAAGCCCTATCTGTGTAGGGACAGGGGATATATGGGAACTCTGTATTTTCAACTCAATTTTGCTATAAACCTAAAACTTCTCTAAAAAGTAAACTTTATTATTTTTATACATATAACCATAAAGAAATATCTTTCATATAAACTTTAGCCAGAGAAAACATTTAAGAGATCATTTCTTGTCAGAGAAACAGAATTATTGAAACTCTACTGCGTAGAATTTATAACAGATTTTTATTATACCAATGTTCTCAAATGCTTTTTTTTTCAGATTCTAATTATGTAGATAATGTGGCTGCAGAGACTGACACATAAATTAGGACTTCTTTTGGTATTATCCAGTTATAGTTACTACTGTGGTTCTGCAAGTGTGATACTTTTAAATCACATTTTCATAACTACAGGCAAACTAAAAATGCCTTTTCAAAATAAGTATTATCTATGAATAGTGTAATAACACTAACGGCCAATCATGAAAGAAGTGAAGAAGGCAAGGACCATATCACGTAATAGTCGCACAGGTGAAGGTAAAGGGCTGGATGTTATGCCAAAGGAAGTTATTCACAAGATAGTAATACAATTTTTTTTCTGAGCACTCAAGCTGCTAGGCAGATAATGTACTGGGATATGAGAATAAATAAGGAAGCCAATTAGGACACCATTATAAAACCATTTATAATAATCTAAATGAGGTACAGATAATGTGATCTCTAAATATTTCATGTGCTGTCCTACATATCCCAGCCTTCACTGCACTTGGGTTGGAGCCATGTCACTACTTCTGACCAACAGACTGTGAACAAAACTGATACAGTCATTCCCAGTCCACCTGATCACCTAAAGCTATATAGTGCAGATATTACAGTTACGAGATGGAAGTGGGTCATAGCTCACACCACACTGGACTTTATGTAAGCCACTGTAAACTTTTGCTGTGCTAAATTACTGAGATTAGAAAGTTAATTTGTTACTCCAGAGCTTATTCTGACTAAAACCCAGAATAAAATATGAAAATGGCCTGGACTGGAAATGAAGTGAGAGATAAAGAAGAAATGAAGACAAGAGGATGGATTCAAGATTTATTTAAAGTGGATAGGTCTTGAAGAAGTATGATGAAGTAAGCATGGGGAAATCAAAGATGGTCTTAAGCATTCTTTCATTAAATTTTACTCCAGTCAGAAAATTTTCCTACAAAATGCAACTTTGTTTGGTAATCAAACTGATTATTAAAAATAAAATAAAGAAAAATAAAAATTTATGAAGTTGATGTTAGCCTGTGGTGGTGGTGGTTTAGTTGCTAAGTCGTATCTGACTCTTGCGACCCCATGGACTGTAGCCTGCCAGGCTCCTCTGTCCATGGGATTCTCCAGGCAAGAATACTGAAGTGGGTTGCCATTCCCTTCTCTAGAGGATCATCCTGACCCAGGGATCGAACCCAGGTCTCCAGCACTGCAGGCAGATTCTTTACTGCCTGAGCTAGCAGGGAAGCTCTTGTGCTTCTTTTAGGTCCATACTATTTCTGTCTTTTATCATGGTCATCCTTGCATGATATGTTACCTTGATCTCGCCAATTTTCTTGACGAGATCTCTAGTCTCTTATTCTGTCGTTTTCTGCTATTTCTTGCACTGTTCACCTAAGAAGGCTTTCTTTCTCTCCCTGCTATTCTCCAGAACTCTGCATTTAGTTAGGTTTATCTTCCCCTTTCATTTCTCTTCTTTTCTCAGCTATTTGTAAAGCCTCCTCAGGCAACCACTTTGCCTTCTTGCATTTCTTTTTCTTTGGGATGGTTCTGGTCATTGCTCCCTGTACAATGTTGCAGACCTCCATCCATAATTCTTCAGGCATTTTGTCTACCAGATCCTTTCCCTTGAACCTACTCATCACCTCCATTAGATTATCATAAGGGATTTGATTTAGGTCATACTAGAATGGCCAAGTGGTTTTCCCTACTTTTTTTCAATTTAAGCCTGAATTTTGCAATAAGGAGCTCATGATGTGAGTCACAGTCAGCTCCAGATCTTATTTTTGCTGACTGTATGGAGTCTCTCCATCTTCAGCTACAAAGAATATAATCAATCTGATTTGGTATGGAACATCTGGTAATACCCATGAGTAGAGTCATCTCTTGTGTTGTTGGAAGAGGGCATCTCCTATGACCACTGTGTTCTCTTGGCAAAATTCTGTTAAACTTTGCCCTGCTTCATTTTGGACTACAAGGCCAAATTTGCCTACTTGACTTCCTACTTTTGCATTCCAATCCCCTCCAATGAAAAGGACATCTTTTTTTGGAGTTACTTCTAGGAGGTCTTGTAGGTCTTCACAGAACCATTCAACTTCAGCTCCTTTGGCATTAGTGGTTGGGGCATAGTGTTGGACTACTGTGATGGTGAAAGGTTTGCCAGGGAAATGAACCGAGATCATCCTGTCATTTTTGAGACTGCATCCAAGTACTGCTTTTCAGACTTTTATTTTGACTATGAGGGCTACCCCACTTCTTCTAGGGGATTCTTTCTTTGAGCAAGGGATTCTTGTTAGAAAATAGGTCTAAAAAATAATTATGATTGTAAATATGTTACAGATAAGTATATGGATATTTCATTCAAAGGAGATTAACACCTGTTGTACCTCAAAGACAAAACATGTTTTTGTAAACAATTTATATTATCAATGATGTAATGGCTCATATGGGCTTCCCAGGAGGCAGCGTGGTAAAGAATCCACTTGGCAATGCAAGAGAGGCAGGTTCAATCCCTGAGTCGGGAAGGTCCCCTGGAGTAGGAAACGGCAAGCCAGTCCAGTATTCTTGCCTGGAAAATTCCTTGGACAGAAGAGCCTGGTGGGCTACAGTCCATGGGGTCACAAAGACTCAGACTCGACTGAGTGACTGAGCACACATACAAGAGCTTATGTAATTTACAGTGTAACAAATCAGAACAAAGCTGAAGCAATAAGAAATTAAAAACAATGTGAAGCATACCCAGTGTCGAGACTCCTCAGTTAGCATTAAGCTTCGCCTGTCAGGCCACTAAGAATTTGACTCCCTACATTTCTCTGGAGTGGGTTGAACTGATCACAAACCACCACATGCCCTCCATCTTCGCTGGAAATAGGAGCTCCTACTTCTAGTGACAATCAGGGCAAATACATCCATGAGTGGACCCGGGCAGTGAGACTGGGCAGTCCGTCCTCAGAAAGGCAGTATGAGCCTTCAATGCTCATCTCTGCTTGTTTGTGGTCACCATTTAAGTTATTGATGGAAATAAGTACAAGCTGATGAACCCAAGTCATTTTGACTACAATACCTACTGGTACTAACTTCTGGTCAACATCAGGAATCTGTATCACTCTTTTGCTGTTATTTTTTTTTTCTCTTTTTACATCACTGTTTTAACCTTGAAATACAGTTTGTTCCTCAGAATAAGACAGAGCTTTCTAATAATTACACTTTAAGTTAACAAGACTTAAAGAAAAACTTTTATAAATTAATCTTGCCTTTAATAGAGTCTGTTAGCTTAGTAATAAAAATGAGTTAACTATGATTTTTAAAAAAATAAAGAAGATCCAACTGTAAAATAATTACAAGAATAATAAGATTTATCCTGGGAAAAAATACATTAAATTAGGCCAAACTTCTCTGCTGTCTGCTCACCTAGGAAGAACTTAGCCTTTCCTGGAATTTCATTCCTTTAGATGAAGGGATAGCAAACTTTCTGTAAAGAGGGAGACATGAAATTTGTTTTGTGGGCCACATAGTCTGTTTAATAACTGCTCAACTCTGCTGTTATAGCATGAAAGCTGCCATAAATGAAAGGGTGTAGCCATGGAATTAAAAGAAGCTTACTCCTTGGAAGGAAAGTTATGACCAACCTAGACAGCATATTTAAAAGCAGAGACGCTACTTTGC